CTCACACTCAGTCTAATGTGATCCAGGTTAAATTAGACACATGATCAACACTTTCAGTTAGAGCAAGGTTTTACTCTTCTGAGGGGAAAGAAATGGCATTGTTGATGGCTAACAATTTCATTAGTGAAAGATTTATAATCAAATAGTGCAAGGTTGATACAATACAACCCAAAGTTTAAAATTCAGAATTAAACTACCGAGTTCAAATAAGAGTAGTAAGAGACAGATCAATAAGATTATTGTTAGAAAGAGCTAGAATTATGCATTCATGCAAATCCTGTGTTGAGACCCAGCCTTAAAGTCATTTCCAACTTATAGTAACACTAAGGTAACCTGTCACGGGATTTTCTTGGCAACATTTGTTCAGAAAGGGGTTTCCTCTGAGGCTGAGCAAGTGTAACTTGGCCAGGATCACCACTGGAGTTGCATGGTGCTGTGGGGATTTGAACAGTGGTCTGGAGTGCTAATCATACTTGCAACTATTATATCATGTTGGCTCTATAAAATCAGAGTTCTTGCATATAAAATGGCAAATCTTTTTACAATGAATGCCTTCAAGATACTGAAACACTGATGGGAAAGTTTGACCTGTGGTGTAGAAAATGGAAAACGATTACACCCGCAGAAAAACAATCTAATGCACTGAAGCATATCTTGTCTGTGATAGACATTTTTTTTCTGAATGTGAAGAAACTTCTTCAGATTTCTGCAACATTGCTAGTTTCAACAGCAATGTTGAAACAACAACAAATGAAAGGTCAATTTCAAATCCTAAACATTTAAAACATATAATAAACACACGGAGCAAGAAAGATTGACTGGACTTGCATTCTTGAATATCCAATAAAGTTTATCAGTGGAGCCTGATTGAATAAGGATGTAGCATTTCATTAATGGGATATGAAAGATAAACAGAAGAGACATAAAGAGAAAAACTAGAGACAGATAATCTCAGACAAATCTATAGTTTTGTAAATACTGACAATATTTATCTTACTGTTGATTTATTTTGGTTTATTATATTTATATGCTGCTTTTCCACCAAGACAGTCATAGTGACAGACAAATGGTTCCATATGGTATCTATTTTGAGTATTGTTTGTGGGACCTGTCTCTTTAATGAATTTAAAGAGTCGAATCCTATATGAATCTATTTAGAAGTAAGCTCCATAGACTTAATTGGGCCTTCTTTATTTGTGAGTGTGTAAAAATACTGTAGCCATAGAGATGGTTTTAAAAAACAGAACTCTCATAGTGACTCACAAAACATGAGTGAGTGATTTCTTATTTTTATTAAAATATGTGAAAATAGACTGCTCTTTAGCACGTTGCAGTGTAATCACTGGCTGGTAGCTGTCAATCAGTCTGTGTCCTCTTAATTCACCTGGCATTTTAAACATTTTATTACAGGTTGAATCTCCCTTATCCTTAATGTGTAGGACCAGAAGTGTTGTAGATTTTGGGTTTTTTTCCTCCAGATTTTGGAATGCCTATATTTGAATTTACACAATAAATGAGGATAGGGAAAAGTGGACAAATCACATGTCCAACGATTGCTGAATTTTCCTCAAGGACTGTCAGCAAACATGCCACCCTGTTAACAAAGTAGTGGAAAAGGGAGGAAAAAGTCCTCCCTCTCTCATTTGTCTTTTTCATTTTCTCTAAGCAGGATACAGGTGACAACCGGTGGAGTCACTCCACTCTTGCGTCATGGTCATTTCCACACACACACACACACCCCTGTCCTGTAGTGCGCTGCCATTGCCTGAGCGGAATATAAGTACAGAAGTCTCTGAGATCACTGTTTTTACAGAGGCCATATGTAAACAGAATCTTTTCCCCTTCTCCTCTTTTCTTCCCCCATCAGATTTCCTTGAAGAAGAAAAACTTAGCAAGCTCTGCGTTGGTGACTAGCCCCCTTTCCCAAAAAGCAGAATTGGGTAACTTTAGTTTTTAGGGGTTTTTTTTTAGTATTTCAGATTTCCTGATAAGGGAAACTTGGCCAACATAGTTACATTTTTAAGACTATCCCTATGTGTATTACCATTAAACCCAGTAGGATTTGAACCTGTATAGACATATATAAGATTGTAGTGTAAATGACCCATTCATATACTCATTATTTCTCCAGACCAAATTTTAGAACTTCAGTCACCTTAGATTACATGGCTGTATTGGTTTTTCCAGGTATCAGAAACTTACTACAGACAAGAATCTGATATAATTGTATAATTGTGTGTGTGTGTGCCCGCGCACGTGTGTGTATATTTTGAAAGAGTTTTTCCTTGATTTGGGTTAATTAATGGCTATAGCAACTTTTGCTTTCTGGCATCTTGAACTGCTGGAAGCTGTGTGATTGACTTGCTGTCTGCTTGGATTCACCTTAGCAGGCCTGAAATTAAATATTCATGTCCTATGCTAAATAAAGGTTGGACAAAAAAAAGTTTAAACTTGAAAAATGACTTGATATGAAGTGAAAAAAATGTACTGAAATTGGTTTTCAAAACTCTTCAAAGGTAATCACACACTGATAGAGTTTATACTCATTACCATTGTCACTGTCACCAATTTCATCATTGTTGAGCTTATCTTTTTGAGTTTAATGGTAACAGAATAGCATATGCAAAACAGAACTTCAAAGTATTCCTGTATTTGCAGCATTTTGCTTGGCTGTTTTGTCCATTTTAATTACTAGATATTGCATACCGTACAGACAACTTGGAGGGAATTCATAAGTGCAAGGAAAGTGTAGTATATTTATTTTAGAAGAAATATTAAGGTACTTTCCATTAACTTTAATTCATTTGTTTCGAGTGATCAGTGCATTTCATTCTAGGTGCTTACAGAGAAAGATTTAATTATCTGCTTTAGAATCTTTCCTGGTATTGATGTGAGACTTAAGACTGCAATGGCTTGGATCTTCATTTTATCCCTTTTTAAGATGGAAACAGCATTTTTCCCCCCTCCAGTCCGCTGGGACTTTTCCTCTTGTCCAGGAATTCTCAAATATTATCATCAGTGATTCTGAGATTACTTTTGCCAATCTTTTAATACTCTTGCTTACCTGGCCCTGGAGACTTGAATTCGTTTAGAATAGCCAAGCATAGCTCAATTATCTCTACCTATTATGTGCTGCATTTCCCATGTTGCATCATCTGCTCCACTTTTTCCACTATTTTCCTTGAGGCAAAGATGTTCACTAGCTCTACCTTTTTTTCTTTCCCTGTTAGAATTTCATCATTTTCTCCATTCAGTGACCCTACCATTTCCTTATTCTTCCCTTTGCTGTGGACATAACCTTAGGTAACTAATGGCTCTGCACTGTTCATCTTTAAAATATCAGCAATGGTCAGTCCTCATGTATTTCAGTTGAAGTTCCACAGAAGATATCCCTGCTAGGGCACATCTTTTATTCCTTCACCACCTAGCTAAATAACCTTGGAAAACAAAGATATGTGAGATTGGAGGAAAGGCTGCAATTTCTTCTCTTTTAAAGAAATGAAGCAGTAAACCTTTTCTTTTACAGAGATAAATATAGCTCCAGCTATTTCTACTTCATAATATTCTGGGATTTTATTTATTTTGTATTGAAAAGGAGCATTGAAAATGGAATTTCCCTTGTGTGGACACATGCCTTTCATGAAAACACTGAGCAAGGTTAACAGTTAGTACTTATTAATCTTTAAAATGCTACTCTGTGCTGCCTTTCGTGCCAAGATTCATGAGTCTTTTTATTGTAGCATATGTCAACAGAGACGTAACCCCATCTGCTGCTATATAGCTTGTTCAGACACTAGGCGCACTGCACAATGCTTACCTCTCGATAATTACAGGTGTGTTGTGAGGAGCCCAATGCATTAATCAGTCCCTTAATTATGGAAAAGGTGGGTCTTTTGTTCTGCCTTCAGAACAGGAGTTTACCAGCCACTTCATGAGCTCTTGCATCCATCTGCTCATTCTTTTAGAATGTTTGCATTGACTGATACTGCCTTTAAAATGTATCCCAGGAAGTTATTAAGACCAGTTTGAACATTAACCTGAATGGACTTTTAAAGATGAAAATGCTTTCTGCTATGATGTGATTTTTCTTTTACTTTTTAAACAATATTTGCGTAAAAATCTGTCATCTTAGATTATGGTACTAGTTTTGTGTGGTCATCTTATAAATCCTAAATAAAGACTATAAGCAAGAACCAGCAGTTTTTTGGATCCAAATAAAAAAAGAATAATTGTGTGTATGTCTAAAATGCTAATTTTAATTTTGGATATCATTTAATGTAAAATCCCTTTCATTGTGATTTTTCAAAGTGCTTTCTTATGTTATGCATTTTTTTTCCAACTTTACATGTCATTTCTTGCTGTAGATTTTTTTTACCAGAAATTGAATTTTTATTTTTGAGCAAATGAATTGCAAATGTTCATTATAATATTTTTTTAAAATCAAATATATTGGCTCTCAGAATTGTTTTTGAATTCATCCTTTCACACACTTCTTTTTCTGTCATGGGTAGGACCCTGTGCTTGGTAACTAAGGCTCAGTCGACACTGCCATATAATGCAGTTCAGTGCAGTTAAACTGCATTATGAAACTGCATTATATGACAGTGTTGACGGAGCCTTAGATACCAAGCACAGGGTCCTACCCATGACAGAGAAAAAAGCGTGTGAAAGGGTGAATTCAAAAATAATTCTAAGAGCCAATATATTTGAGGCTTAGGCCTTATCTATCCATATATTGCAGTTTCATAATGTCATATAATATTGTCATATAATGCAGTTCAATACAGTTAAATTTGGATTATGAAACTGCATTACATGGTTGTGTAGATGAGGCCTAAGCGGCATAGTAAAACTAAAGCTCCTGGAGTCAAATTTGCTAGCCCCCTAAGTATATAAGATAATAATGTCAACAGTAAATATTGCCAATTTGTGCAACCACTTGTCTTTTAACAAAATGAACAAGTTTCAAAAATTGAAGGTTGACCTCTTCTCCTTTACAGGATATTTTGAATACGATCATAAGGCACTGCTCTCCCTGCTTTTTCTTCTTGAGCTTGCCTGGCTTTACATTGTTGATCGGAGACTTCATAAGAGCTGCAGCCACTGTCCTGAGTACAAACATGCTGGAGGCAAGTATGATAATGTTCAATGCCCGTCTCCCTGCGTGAGCACACCTTTGTTAGCAGGGTTCAGATTTCTCTGCTCTAACAGGTGTTGGCTCATTAGTGCAATGTGAAACTGGGCTCTTGGGCAGACACTATGGCAGCTGATGTGTGAAATTGTAGGATAAGGTGACATCCTAGTATTGCAAAGGTGTTTCATCAAAAGGACAAAATGTGAGAAATCATGTCCTTTCTAACACTGTGGTACATTTGCACTCTAAAAGTAAAGCTTGCTTCCAGAATACTATTATGGAGCTTTGCAATATATTGATATGAATATTCTAGGTCCCCACCTTCATTTGGAATATATTTTGACTAGCAAAGAGAAAGATAAGCAAGAATTTTTAAAATCCTGCTTACTATGCTTTACTGTTCAGCAATGATTCAAGCATAATATATTGTTAATACAAAGATTTTAATAAATTTGATTTCTCACTTTTTTAGTGTCCAGTAGGAAATGAGTAAATGATCTGTCTAAATCTATATAAATAAAAATGTAATGTTAGTTTGTGGGATTAACATAACTCAAAAACCACTGGATGGATTGACACCAAATTTGGACACAGTACACCTATCAGGCCAATGAATGACCATCACTCAAAAAACACTGAAAAACACAGCAGAAGGGACTTAAAAAGCTAAAAAAGCAAAAAGACGGTACACTGCATGCGCAAAAATGACTCCCTCGGCAAACAAAACACACAATAGCATATCCAAACTCTCTTCCGGACTACAGCTGCCAGCATTCCCTAGACTAGGCCCTTTAGGAGAGGAGGAGGATCCTAATGCGCTGCTTCCAAGATGCAAGCTTTCTTCTCCTGGGATTTCTTTGAGAAGCATCCCAATCCCTGCATATTTCCAATTTCCTATTCCTGGACTGCAACTCCCAGCAATCCTCCAGATAGATAGGAGATATGTAGGTAGATAGATCGATCCAGAGGATTGCTGGGAGTTGGGGTCTAAGAATAGGTTGTTAAGTAAGAAAGGGAAAAAAGAGGAAAGGAAAGAAAAGGGGGGAGGGAAGAGGAAGAGAAGGCAGGAAGGAGACAAGGAAAGAAAAAGGGAAGGAAGGAGGGAACGAAAGAAGGAGAAAAAGAGGGAGGGAATGTTGGCTACAGCAACACATGGTGGGTACAGCTAGTAATTGTATAAGCTTATATAGTACAGTTTGAGAAGATAATATTCAGTATATATTTAGTTGCAAAAACATCCCACCTCTATTCTGTTTGATTATGAGATAAATAGTACTTTTGTTATTCATATTGTTGATGCTTTCAAAAATATTGAGGTTGCATTAACACATTTTAGTTTCTCTGAGGATATACCATAATTTCAAGAATCACTGAGTTTGAAGAGACTACAAGGGCCCACCCAGACCAAATCCCTGCCAGGTGTAATTAATTAATGCTTCCACTATAGCAAGTCAATAGCCATCAAAAATATTGCCATTGTTAATACAGGCATATGGCACCCATGAGTGTGTACAGTATTGAAAATGACAAAGATTCTAGTTCTGGATCTAACCATTTAAAGTATAAATCTTACAGTCAATCAATTTCAGTCAATCAAACAGAGTTATTAGATTTGTAATTGATATGCCTTATTATACAAGGTTAAATACGAAAAATTTGCAGTTCATCTTCTGAAAATTGCATTTCCAGCCTTTTGAGTAAAACATAAGGTAGTGAAGACTCTCATATACAATATTTTTTGTGCTATAGGTGTACATGATATACACTTTAGAAACAATAGAATAAAAGTTGGTATTGCAGAGATCCACCATTGTATAGTGGTTTGGATATTGGACTTGGTACTCTAGACAACAGGATTTGAATCTTTGCTCAACCATGGAAATCATGGACCCTGAGCGCGTCACACTCTTTCAGCCTCAGGTGAAGGCAAAGACATATTTCTCATTGCTACTTTCACTGGTCAATAAAGCTAAAAAATAGTGGTTCTGCATAGGGACTCCTTTGTTAGATATATTGGCCAGTGTTTCAAATGTTATATCTATTTCTGGTTATGTTTTACCTGCTGATTCAAAAGATGGCAACAATTTTCCTCTAGTTTTTGAAATACAAAACATATGCCATCTACCAGTTGCCATCTGCTCACCCATAGAAAAACATGATAGACATATCTAAGAAACTAGAGCTGATGTGGTCTAATGAAATTTTCTAAATCAGCATCACAAATAACCCAGGAACAAGCCTAAAAACCAAGAAACCCCCCAAAAAATTTATTTTGTTGGGCTGTGTAATTCTAAACTATCCAAACCCCCCACCTCAGCATTTGAATATTAGGGTTCGAATTCAATTCTTGAATGAATGATAAACATTGTTCTTTATTTTAGTTGTAAAATAGCTGAACAAAATAATTACTTCCAATTTTGTTCTTCATTTTTTTACTCTTGGGATGAAAATTATAAACAGTTCAGAGCAATCTGTACATGAAGCAGAAAAAGAAAAAGGAAGCAAGAGTGCAAGTGATGAAATTGTCAGATTACAAATTACAGATTAGAGACACTTTCTGCCATCTGCCTGAAATGTGGCTGTTCTGATCATCATGGCCTTCAGAAACAATGTGCCATTTATTTTAACCGTAGTTTTCACAACATGCATTTAAGACTAACTGGAATCAGTCAAAATAATTTTATTTTGAAGTTGCACACTGTTTCTACATTTCTAAGGCATCATTTTTTATGCTTGTACACACAGAGCACCTACATGCATGACACCTGTGCCCCATTACTGGTTCCTCTTACACACACTTAATATTATAGATTGGGGACCATTTCGGGAAGTGAGAGCAGACAGCAGACAAAAAATGTCAGTTTAAAATACTATTGTCCCAAGATGGATTTCATTGTATTCATATCTGAGGTTTCTTAAGTGACATGACATCTATATTTGTGACTTGTTTGTTTTTGTTTATAGGCACCCCGCTTAGAAGCACATACCATTCTTGGTTCTCTGATTTGCTTTCCTAATCTCTACCAAGAAATCTCATTGTTACAACCCATTTTGGGAGCAGAAGTCATTCCAGAAACTGTGGATGTCAAAGTAAATATTTGCTGTTGGCTGATCTTTATATTTAAAATTTCGAGGGTTATATTGTACGTTCATTATAGACTATATTTTTATTTTGAATAAACAGTAGAATTGGTTATAGAATTAAAGTTGTTTCTTCTTAGTGAATGCTGGCATAGAAGTAGATGAGCAAAAATCACAGTTCAGCCTTTTCTGACCAAGTCAAAAAGCCATTATTGAATACTCAAATTGTCATCTGGACTTTTTAATAAGAAAATTCCCCTTCTAGTTAAGAAAATTCCCCTTCTAGTAGAATCATATATTCCCTTTATGCACCAGGAAATTATGCTTCTCTACTAGTAAATCAGCAAACCCCCACAGTCTTATATTCATACCCTCCATCACTTCACAGGGCATTAGAGTGTCCAGGAGCCCCTGGTTGTGCAATGGGTTAAACCCCTGTGCCAGCAGGACTGCTGACCGACAGGGTAGCAGTTCGAATCCAGGGAGTGGGGTGAGCTCCCACCTCAGCTCTAGCTTCCCAACTGGTGACATGAGGGAAGCTTCCCACAGGATGGTAAAAACATCAAACATCCGAGTGTCCTTTGGGCAACGTTCTTGCCGACAGCCAATTCTCTCACACCAGTAGCGACTTGCAGTTTTTCAAGTCACTCCTGACACACACAAAAAAGAGTGTACCCGAGATATCAGACATCATTAATTATGAAACGTGCAGGATCTAGGAGAGGCTGCAGCAGTTTGTTTTTGCTATATCTTGTTTGGAAGGTCAAGATTCCATTTTTTCCTCTTCTTCGCCATTTAATTAATTCAATACAAACTACTTTTGCGGTTTGAATTCAGTTTGCAGCAATTGAAACAAATGAAAGTCGAAAGAAGAAACAAGGAAAAAGGGAACATTTTAAAAGCAGATTAAAACATTGGACAAGAGGGATTAATTGGGACTTTACCTGACAAATCAGGAGAGTCGTAAGGTGTGCATGTGGCAAATAGTGAAACTAGAGAGGGTTGTTGCAGTGAACTCAGGAGCCTCTTTTACAGGTCTTGACCAGCAATTCTTTTATCTTACATTTGATGCATTTCCCTCATAGCAGAGCTGTGTGGGTCTGTCTTCTTGCCAAACATAACTCACATGAATCGTTTACCATCAATTGAAGAATTCTCTTTCCTGTTAGATTTGTACTGCCGGGCCCAGGGGCAGGGGATGGAACAGTACTGGTAGTTTTTGTATAAAATTTGGCACTATAGCATGCACCACTTCGTAAGTGAGCATAATTTTTGTATGTATTTGTGCTAACATTTATTTAAGCTGTATCATGGTTTTATGAGCCTTTCTCCATTTTCTGTGATTTATATTTGTTCCTAGTTCATGGGCCTTTTAACTTAAAAAATTAATATACTTTGCTAGGACTGAGCTGCAAGAGAAAGCAAATCACTTCTCCTCAAAATGTGGGACAATTACATTCAATTTCATTAATGGTTTGGGTGTTTTTCCATTCAGAGTCAGGACTGGAAATATTGCCTTCTCTTGTTGGGCTTTGTAGATCTGGTTGTGTGGCACTGTAATGTGGTCATGCTTGCTTTATACTCTGTATTAAGTTATGAATCTGAATAACAATTCTCTTTAGAAAAAGAAAATGTTGCCAATGTTGCTATTGAAAGAGCAATGAAGTAACAATCCTGGAATTCTGGGGAGATGAGAGAAATTCATAAGGATAGTGAAGGACCGAAATAAAATTCAGTGTTGTGTGTTGAGTTGTACAAACTCACTTCCCTCTCTGCTGCCACACCACATGCTCTCTTTTGAATTTTTACAGAGATTTCTTGATATGCTGGTCTCACAGAGAGAAGCCTTATCAAGCGCTGTGGCCTGCAGAGTCCAGATTGAGTCTTATCTCCCCAGCACATGCTCAAACATATACCAGTTGCCTATAGGGCAGCAAGAAAGGTTGTTTCCACATTTTGCAGGTTACAAAATGATTGCACTTTGGGGAAAAGGAAATGGATTAATGTGACAAATTCCTCCTATAGGTTTCACACATCATAATTTAATACTAAGGACAAAATTAGAAGATTATGGTTCAGTTAGCAAACAAATATGTTAAAATACATTTTAGACCAAGATACTTCTAATGACAATTATTTAATTTTGACAATTAAGCCAATATACGTCTAATGACTGTTTTTCATTTTGACATATATGAGTAAAAATTAAGTATTTCTGATTCATTTGTGAGGTAGGATATATTAGAGAAAGTTGTTCATTTGTGATGGAGCTAATAAACTCCTCCACATCAGTTGGGGTCCACCATATTTACTTCAAGTTATGTTTTATTTATTTTTAATCACATTGAATTATATTAAAATTTTCTGCAATGTGTTTGACCAGAAAATGTGTTTACTGTGGTTTTTATTCTTCTAGTGTTACCTCATAAGTACCCTTCTAAAGAATGCCATAGACGAACCTAGTGAAGCTTCAAGGTAAAATGCTGAATAAAAAAGAAAATATTGTGAATTATAAATTGAAGAATATATTGTTTGTATGAAAAGCTGATGATTTGGGGGTTGAACAGGAGAAAAGTACTATTTATAGAGGCATAGCTAAAATGCAGTCCTACTTCTGGAAAGTGGGATACAGCCAAATAACATCTTCAGTTCATGAAAAAAAATACCTATAGATTCTGATTCCAGTGAAATAGATTAAGTAACACAACCATGGCAGAACAAGTGGAAAACACTGGAATAGTAAAATTGAATGTAGATGCTGTAAGAGAAATATAGTTGTGTTTCAGTTTTAATACTGGCATGAAAGCACAGAATATCTTGACCAAATACCAACCTGAATCCTATGTATTGCTACCTAATGACAATTCAATTGCTTACTATTTAACTTTCATAGAACTAAAAATAAATGGCATAATATGGGTTAATAAATTGCAACTCTTTTTTTTTTGAAGGTGCTTAGCTGTGTGTTGTCTTGGACTTTGGATATGTGAAGAACTAGTGCAATGTACAAACCATCCCCAAGTAAAGGATGCAATAAATGTTTTAGGTGTGACACTAAAGGTACTAGTATGACATGGGTGGTTTAACTACAGAATTACACAGTGGTATAGTGTAGATTGCAATGAAAGAGTGCTTCAGTGTTGTAAAATATTTTGCAAAATTAGAAGATTCTCACATTCAGTCTGTTATGCAAAATTTGGAGCATCTCTAATTGAAACACTTACTATGTACACGAGACATTAAATTAACCCCAGCTAGAATACTTGTTTTGCATTTAAGACACAGTGTCATTTGTCTGTTGTTGCAAAACCAAGATAGTAACAAAAGATATATGGCATAAATTAGATGCCACTTCATTAGATGAATTGTCAAATCTGAGAAAACCTCCCTTTGGCAACAGCCAACATAAGGTCCTAACATTCAAAGAAAAGGTTACCTATTTATCTAGCAACTTAAACATTCTGACAGGCAGCTAGCAGGATTTTCTAGGAAGCTTTATTGAATTACTATTGATTGAATACTTGGGCCCAATTGATCCCGAGGGAAGTAGCACATTTTTATAGGAAAGTGCTGTATTTCATTGCATAATAGTCTCTACTCCCCCCCCCCCATTTTTCCTTTTTAAAAAGAGACTGTGTGGCTATTATGCAGTAGCAATTATTGCAGGGTGGGAAAAAGCCCATCTTTCAGAGGGAACATGCGCATGGCAGGTGAAGTCTCGCCTGCCCACACACCTTTCTCCATTACAGTTGCACACCTCACTTACCGAATTGGCAAGCTGCACCAGGTATGAGTGAGTGAATCAAGGGTATGACTATTATGTGAGGAAAGGGGGAAAAAAACCAAATACCCAAGGGGTGAGATTATTACATGATGAAATGCAGGAGTTAGTTGTTTTCAAATTCTGCCTTACTTTGGATTCATGTAAAACAGCCATGTGAATATCCACATAACTTAAGATTTCATAACGTGGTCATATGTTCTTAGCTCATGTATTTGGCATGAAGGTGTGACAGAGAGTGGTACCCACATTTCTCAGAACTTCTGATGGAATTGCCATAAGTCTGTCAGTGCTGTCATACTTTTCAGATGACTGCCTCACCTAACACTTTGTATGTTCCAGTTCTTAGATGATCAGTGAGAAGAAAAGTGTCCTACTAAAACTAGCTTCTGAATCATGCACCTTGATTTGAGAAGCTAAAAGTTTTCTTGTTCCAGAAAGGGCAAGGAATTTCTCCAAGGGATATATTGCCCAATTGTCTTAGATAAATGTAGTGGATTTTTAACATTGCAGATTTTGTTGAAGTGTTTCATGGCCAGAATCACTGGTTTGCTTTGAGTTTTTCAGGTTGTATGACCATGTTCCAGCAGTATTCTTGCCTAATGTTTTGCCTCCATGTGTGGCTAGCATCTTCAGAGGTTCTGGACCTCTGAAGATGCCAGCCACAGATACAGGTGAAATGTTAGGTGGGAATGCTGCTGGAACGTGGTCATACAGCCCAAAAAATTCACAGCAACCCATTGCAGACTTTGTTTTAAATACTGGGTATTTTCTCTGCCTGGAATCTTATTTACTTGATCGTTGTGAAAGGGGTCCCCAAACTAAGATCTGCGTGCTAGATGCGCTCCTCACCCTAAACTTTAGACTTAAGGTTGCCCTAAATCTGAAACGACTTGAAAGCACACAACAACAACCACCCTAATTAACTTGACTGTCCCATCAGCCAAAAGCAGGCACACATTTCCTATTGAAATACTGGTAGGTTTATTTTGGTTAAAATTATTCTTTATTTAAAATATTGTATTTTTCTTTCAGTTTTTTGCATTATAAACAAGATGTGTGCAGCATGCATAGGAATTCATGTTTTTTTTCAAACTATATCCCGCCCTTCCCCCCAACAGTCTCAGGGACCGTGAACTGGCCCTATGTTTTGAGGATCTCTTCGTTGTGACCTGTAGTCAGAAAGAGTGTGGCCCTAGGTGTTGACTGTCTTCCCTGCCTCCTCCTGAAAAATATTTTCTTTTTTTCTTAAATAGGTTTTAAAGTGGCATTAACATTTAATAGATAGGGAAATTGGAAATATTAATAGATTTAAAATTGCTTTGATAGCACACAAACTTCCCCTTTTTTCTATTCATGCAAAAACAAAAAGCTGCTGGTTTAAGTAGTTTCGATCACATGGGTAACCTGTACAGTAGGTAATGTATCTCATATTAAATAGGGATGATAGAGGCTATATCCACAACTCTAATACAGGCATAAGGCAGCAGATCTCAGCCTACTTCCCACTGTGCTTTAGTCTTTATATGGTTGGTTTTTTAAATTGGTGATAATTTAAAAAGCAAGCTTTACTTGTTTTTTTAAAACAATATTAGAATTGTGCAGTTTGTTTGTATCATCAGTAATATTATTTGCTTTTTTCACCCTTACAGTTTTCTAACAAGCAGATAGCACAGGAAGCATGTGATATCTTTCAATTGCTTGCATCCTACTGGGAAAAACTACAGTTGTACAAATCTTGTCTACCCAGAAAAATTATTGAAGTATGTGTGTCTTCTAAAATGTTTGTGTGTGATAATCAGTATTAGATTCATATGCTTTCTTATTTACTGAAATGTAATGTCTTACTCTGTTGTGTCCTTCCTCTTATCGTGGAATTGCTGTAGTCCCTGGCAGCTGCTTGAAATAACTATAAAATCTTCTTAGCAAAGCTGAACCACCCAATATTCCATGTGCTCCTCAACAGCTATGGAGTGACTTGTCCTAAAGTATTCCATCGCTCTTTTAAAAATATTGAAGAAATTCATTTTATCTTAATAAGCTGTCAAGGATATAATATGTCCATTTGGCAATGGATGGAAGGAGAACTGCTAAATACAAAACTAAGTGGCATGTGTTCTGTCCTAGCAGCTTCACAAAATAGAGTCAGAAATGTTTTGCCTGAATCATAGATTTTGGTTTTTTATGGGTCTGTAGCACTTCAAGAGCACATTTTACTTGTACATTTGAATTGTGCTTTGAGTTGACTTCATTATCATGCTAGGTAGTACCAACTTGGTGGGAGACGGAGACGGATGTTAGGTTCTCACTTTCTGTTATTTCCTATGAACTCTTGGCATTTGGAGGGGCAGAGGTTCTGTTTTGCTGTCATTACTCCCAAGACCGTTAGACCTCGTTTTTGAAATGTGATATGAATAATATCTCTTTTTTTTTGTTACACTAAAGTCATTTTGAAATCAGATCATACCTTATTTCCTGCTAATTGTTTGTATGTAATATCACACCAGCATTTCAAGGAGTAGAACAGAAAATATGTAATTGATACTGTTCAGAAAGTCATGAAGGAGGCCCAAACTTAATGAAATTCAAATAATCTATAATACATTTATAAAGACAGATACTGTGCTTTGCTTTGCCAATATTAGGAAACTTATCAGCTGATAATAAATATAACTGATGTAATGCATTTAAAATCTATTAATAAATTTGACAGTTAAATTTGCTTGGAAAATTTTGACACATCTTTTCTGGCTATTCAGATATTAGAATGGTAGAGGGGAAGAAACAAATAGGTCATATTATCATGAGAAATGATGAGTAAACAGTTTATTACAAAGTAGTCATTTAAAATATCAAATATGTTTGATTTTTTGCTCAAAATAGATTTCTTTTTTTTTTGAAATTGCTTTTACACGGATCCTTGTGTAAACATATTGACTGATAATAAATATAACTAATGAAATGCATTTAAATAAATTAATAAATTTGACAGTTTAATTTGCTTGGAAAATATTTGCAGATCTTTTCTGGCTTTTCAGATATTAGCATGGTGGAGGGGAAAAACAAATAGGTCATATAATCTTGAGAAATGATGAGTAAAACAGTTTGTTACAAAGTAGTTATTTAAAATGTCAAATTTGGATTTTTTTGCTCAAAATAGAACATTTTTCTAATTTTTTTCATTTTGAAATTGTTTTTACACAGATCCTTGTTGCCACCATCACATTTCTCTTGCCAAGTGCAGAGTACTCCTCTGTGGAAAGTGATAAAAAGGTATGTAATGATACATGGTTCCTCATATTGTGGCTTTTACCATGGAAGGGAAGCTGAAAAACATACTATTTCCAGTCCTTTTTTAAAAAAATCCATAACCCCATTACTCTGTTCAGGATTGAGTGAAAGAGGTGAATTATGGATATAATAATCTCAAATAGTGGTGAGTATTTTTTTTCTCACCACCTAGGTGTGGTGTTTGCTCCCAATCTCAGCTTCATAATTGGGTTTCTCAACTAAAGGAAATATGCATAAAGTACCTATTTATGTATGCATTTGTGCTGGAGTTGAGAGTTTCATATTTTTCAAAGCAGAATAAGTTGTATTCTGAAATTTTCTGTTTTAGTTTATAGTTTCCTTGTTGCTTTGCTTGCTGGATTGGTGCATGGCATTACCAGTGAACATGCTGCTGGAACCTGTTCTTATTTCAACGCTGGAAGATAAACATTCTTCTAAAGCTCCTTTGCTTGATTACATTTATAGGGTAAGTATGAAGGATACTCTCTGAATACACTACTGCTGTTTTTGACACTGAGTTATGCTGTTCATTATGAAGAGAGAGAAATTATAAAGCAGTGCAGTGTCATAAACCCAACATTAATTCTGAACATAAATGTTAGCAACAAATACAGATTGTTACAAGTTGTTCATACTGTGGAAACATTGAATTACAATGTATTAATTTATTATCAGTTTGCATGGGTTATATACTTGTGATATTTTCAGCATCTTCTATATCTCATTTTCATAAAGGGCCGCATCAGCCTTATGGTTGCCTTCAAAAGCTGTTGAATCAATGGACAGAGAATCCATGGATACAGAGGGCCAGCTGTGTATTTGTTGTATATAGTGGCCAGTGCTCTTGGGTTTTTACTCAGTTTGGGTTGCTAGGTGTAATTGAATGACAACTCCCATCCCTTTTTATTATCTGCCATGCAGACTACAAATAATGGGAATTGCAGTCCAACAGCCTTTGTGGCTCTTAGTTTGGGGGAAGGTTACATGGCATTTTAAAGGTCAGATCATATCAATAGGCCTTGTATCTAGATTCAAACCCCATTGTTCTGACTAAATAGAACAAACTGCAGCCTTCCAGAAGTTACTGTATCACAATTCCAATCAACTCTAGTTATGATATCTAACAATGAGGAATAGAAGAAATGTAGTTTGGCCTCTGGAGCCTGGATTTGGCCTCCAAGCCCTGAATTTGATACCTGTATTCATATCTTTTGTTATGCTAGCAGCAATCGAGGTAGTGCTTTTCAGAATGGCAGTGAGTCATTTAGCAGAAATAATACCAAGCTTGGTTACAGAGATCAAACAACCTCCCTGCTCCAAGAGCTCTAATAGCTGTCGGTTTATTTCTGGACAGAATTAAAATACTAGTTATGATCTACAAAGCAATATACAGCTTAGATCCAGGCTATCCAACAGATTGTCTTTCACTGCACTAGCCTGTCCAGACACTGAGATCCTCAGGAAAGGCCTTTAATTACTTTCCAAAACCTTCACAGATATAGATGGTAGGTATACAATATAGAGCTTTGTTATTGGCTCTTTAGCATTTCTTCCTATTGCTATTGTTTGTTAATAAAAATAACAATGAGATCTATGGTTATCAGGCAATAACGTAGAGGTGTGCTTAGCAATTAGAGCAATGGGACCAAGGGACCATTGGCTGAAGCAACTTGTATGTGGTATTTTCTATTACACATTCTTTCTGGAATAGAAAACATACTAGTATCTTTTTTTGAAAAAAATCCCTCAGGTCCTGCACAGTTGCGTCCATGGTTCAAACACTTACACACAGCAAAGCCATTACCTCTTAAGCCTTGCAGACCTCTCTAGCGATGTCTACGATCCGTTTTTGCCATTAGCAAGTGTCAGAAATTCTGAACCTATCCAGTTCCAGTCTTCAGAAGATGTCAATAATTTGCTCACTGTTGCTGAAGGTAAGAATAATTTAATTTCTTTTTTTCTTTTTTGGCGGGGGGGGGGGGTATGTTTCAAATAAGAACACTCAGAATCAAGTAAAGGTAGGTTACATGATCAGGTTCTCACAATCACACAATTTCACTCTTCTTTCCAAAATGGCCTTTTTCCTAAAAGCTGGGGAACTGATAAGAAATGGTTTTCGGGATGCAGTAGGGTGGAAAGGGTGGGAAACCTCCCTTGCACAAATATTACTTGTCTTGCAAATTTTTAAAAAAAAAAATTGTTAAAGCTGGTTTGTCTGTGTTATTAGAAATCATTAAATAAGTAAATATATGTTGCAGCATGTTAATACTTTGCCTGCATTGTTACTGCTATGGTTCACATTAAATTTTACTGTCAAAAATACTAGAGCTCTAGCTGAACCAGTACATTTGTCATACCTAGATTCAGGTCTGATCTAACACATACAAACTAACGATGAAACTAAAAAAATATGTTCTGCATACATTTAATTTACAATAGCTACTACCATGTATTTATTTACATACAGAAAAGAGTCAATTATCTGGATAATATCTGATGGGAAACAATATTTCATAGAACAGTTCATGGTCTCATCGCCTATCCCATTTTAATAGCATAAAATCTAGAACCTTTGTCTTTGTGTGGGGTTAGGGTCATGCTTCATAATAACCCAAACAAAAATTCAAGAAAAAGTTCTTCAATAGAATCAGAGTATATCCTTGCCCAATAATAGATGTAGAGGTAGATTTTTTAATGTGTACAGGCAGTTCCCAATTTAAAAACATTTGACTTACAATTGACTCATAGTTAAGAACAGAGTCCCTGGTAGTGCAGTGGGTTAAACTGCTTAGCTGCTGAACTTGCTGACCAAAAGGTCAGCAGTTGAAATCCAGGGAGTGGGATGAGCTCCCACTCTTAGCCCCAGCTTCTGCCAACTTAGCAGTACAAGAACATGCAAATGCGAATAGATCAATAGGTACAGCTCCAGCGGGAAGGTAACAGTGCTCAATTCAGTCATGTTGGCCACATGACCTTGGAGGCGTCTATGGACAGTGCCATCTCTTCGGTTCAGAAATGGAGATGAGCATCATTCTCCCAGAGTCGGACATAACTAAACTTAATGTCAGGGGAAACCTTAACCTTTACTTAAGAATGGGGATGAGACAACAGCAAATGAGAGAAATCTACCCTTAGGAAATTCACTCCTGAAAGAGTTATCATGAGAAAGTGAAAATGAAACTTTATCACCAATCTTTGTTTCCACAAGCCAAATTTTTCAAAATCTAAATCGTAAACCGGGGCAAGGAAAGTAAAACAAATGCCACAAGGGTGTTAACCCTTCCCTATGCTATCCAAAGCCCCCCCCCCCCAATATATTATGTACCTGATCTGACTTACATACAAATTCTGACTTACATACAAATTCAATTTTTTTCATAACTTGAGGACTGCCTGTAGTTGCAGTAGTTAGAACAGCTGCAGAAAACAAATGACATAAATTTGGAAAAAAATAAGCTTCAAATTGAATAGGTACATTAAACTTTCTCTAATGCAAATAATATCCATTGAACTAATTAAGTTTTAAATTAAATTTTACCATTATTCACCACAATTATAAATTGACATTGATTTAGCAACTCACAATATGTCTTTTCAAAAACATTAATAAAATATATTGTCTTAAATCCAATTACTGATTTCAACTAGAGTAGACCAGGACCAACAGTAGTTATCACCTGAATGATACATCGAAGCTTAATTAAATTCTGTTAACTCAGTGGGCCAACTCTAGTTAATATGTGCATTTGTATTTAGGCAGATATGCATACATAGCAAAATCCATTGGGTTTTCACTTTATTACAAAAGCTAAATAAATGATGATTTAAGTTCTTAACGTCCTCATTACCACAAATGCATACATGATTGATGTTGGGACATTCTTCCATTTATCCTCTACCATAACAGTCAGTGATCCTTGGAGTTTAGCTGTTTTGCTGTTAGATAAGTGTGTATGTACATTTCCTACAATTCTCATACTTCAGAACCATGTGGAAACTGAGGATGTACTTTGACCTCCAAAAGGTTATTTATGGGTACATATTTTGCCAGTTTGATTTCTTGATTTGTTTTTATTATTGGTCAATTTCAGAAAGGAGGAGGAGGAGCTTGGAGTTAATACCTTTGACTGCACGAATGATTATGGCACATCTAGTAAACAATTTGGGCCATTATCCCTTGAATGGAGGGCCTGCCGTTCTTCACAGCCTTATTAGTGAAAACCATGACAACTCTTATGTGGAATCCTCTGAACTGTCTTCTGAAGTCTTCAGGAGCCCCAACTTACAACTTTTTGTATTTAATGATAGTACTCTTATATCTTATCTTCAAATTCCTTCAGAAAGAGGGGAAGATGATGAACCTCCAGGAGCTCTATCTGAAGTTAGAGTAATTGTAAGAGATATCTCAGGGAAATACTCATGGGATGGAAAACTGATGCATGGACCACTAGCCGGATGTCCACCAAATCCAAATAAAAGGAAATCTACTGCATTTTTTAACAATCATAAACAGAACTTTGAGTCTCAAGTGGATTGTATTGAAATATTTGAAGGGGATGATGTTCTTGATAAATTGCTTGAGAGGATTGGCAATAGTAGTCCTGAGTGCCTTCTTCGTCCACAAGTAAAATTAAATGAGCCATCAGCACCACCATTTGTTATGAGCTGTGAACAAGAGAACGATATTCTAGAAGCAATAATAAAACAGAATTGCACAGAAAATGAATATGCACATGGATGCCGTTTGAATCTTAGCATGAAGGCTGAATTTCAGAAAGCACCAAGACCTGCTCAGCTCCAAGCACCATTTCACTTATGTAAGCTTTTGCTAAACGACTTAGGGATGAATTCTTGGGATAAAAGGTAAGCAAAGTATTATATTTCTGCATGGGTTATGAAAAATTATAGCATTAGCTCCACAAAAATGCCACATTGCTATCTCATTCTTTGGGAAAGCAGTTTCTCCTGGTGGAAGACAAGGATAACTGCAGTTGCACTACTAGATTAGTATCATTTTCTAATAATTGAGAGTAGTTCTGTCTTCCAGTTTTTTGGAAGGGTGGGATATAAGGGGGATTAGGGAAGGTAATGTGGTTAGCTATTAATTAGTTTCTTTTCACTCCCTAGCCAGGGACATGATGCAATCTTAGAAAAGTGCAGTATACAGATGCAATTAATTAACCAAGGAACATAGAGTTGGGAAAAGAAGGGGAGAGTATGTGAGTCAACCAAAAGAAATGGCAGTTTCTTCCCCAAAAGCTGTCCAAATATGACCACATTGTGTCTTCTGGATTTGTTTTGACAAAGTACAGCTTAAGTGGATTAAACTACACTAGTTGCAATCAGCAATAAAGCACTGAACCTACCTAACCAAACAACCATCTGCATGAAAATTCCTCACAAACTGTGGCTTAGGCTAGACTCATAGGTATGAAAGTGAGGCAGACAGGGTTTCAAAGTAAAACCGGTATTGTCCCCTCTGAACTGTGTTTAAGTTCTACAGTTACAGCAGTTTATTATTGTGGGTAAGTTGACTGCCTTATCTGGTTGAGCAGGGATGGAATAGTTTGCCCTCTCTTTAGTGGAAAATGGCAGTATTCCACACAAAAAGGGTGAAGCCTATCCTCTAGACCAGTGCTTCTCAGTGGTGCTCCATGGGCTGGTGTCAGTCCATAGCAAGTTGCCAAGAGAAAAAGACACACTTGAGAATTCAAGCATAGATTTTTGTTAGCCCCGGTTTTCAGACCTTATTTTGACCAAAATTACTTCCCTTCCTGGTTTTCTGACCTTATTTTGACCAAAAATTATCTCTCATTTTCCCCTCTAAATAGTAATGTACACACTGCACTCACACATATCTTTTCTCTACAAATATTTCAATTAAAATTATCATTTCCAACCATACTACACTTTATTTGATATATTTGAACATTGAAGTTTGAATATTTCATTGTCTTGCATACAAAAAGTGCAGAAAATAAAGTTTACTTGGTAATCAAGCATCTCTGATACTTGTGTGGTGCAGCTCCAGCTCTGTTTGGCTAAATAAGCCAAATATGGATGAGAATCTAAGAAACTATGCTTCACCTGAGTGATCTTGAGCTGGTTGTTTCTAGGAAATGCTACTGGAGTGAGAAATAGATTTGGAGAGGTGGATTAGTGGCAGCTGTAGGAAAATAAACCATAGAATTTCCAAATAACTTGTTTAAATATTATATTTTTGTCAGCATTACATAATGTAAATACTTTTGCCATTTTTATCATTATTCCTATTACACTTGAAAATTTTACTGCTATTATTTATTATTATCATAATTTATCTCTCTATAGAATTCACAATGATGAATTTAACATCAAGGGCATATAGATTCCGTATGTCCTAAAAATAATCAATGCACATTTTTAAACAGTGAATTAAAAATCACTGTTGAATTAAAAATCTGCTGGAAAAGATTGGTATGTACCGCTGTATTAACAAAGCATGTCCAGCTGATAAATCTCCTCTGGCAGGTCATTCCACAATCTCTGGACAGTCAAAGAAAACGTCAGCCCAGTTTTGGAGACTGATGCCCCCCAGAGGACTTGAGTGTGTATGGTGGATTATAGACAGAAAAGGCAATGCCATAAGTAACCTGAACCCTTATTGATCTCATTTTTGGAACCATAACTCTGGATTATCTCTTCCAGCTGGTTCATATAGAAACTAAACAGCACTGAAGTACAATAGATAGGTTAATGTTTATGTATCGTGAACCTTTCCATTCATAACCTAGATTTTATGTATCTTTAGGAAAAGTTTTCACCTACTGAAAAAAAATTCTAAATTGTTGAGAGAACTGAAAAATTTGGATTCCAGGCAATGGTGAGTTAAACTTATACATTTAAAGAAGAAAGTACAGTGTATTCTGCTGCTGAAAAAAATCAGATTGCATTTAATTTTGAAAGAAATATGTTCTATTGTCCAGTTGGAAAAAGAAGGATAATTATGAAAATGGAGATATATTTATCCCTTGGACAGTTTTGATACAAACCACCTACAGACCCACCAAGAAAATCCAACAAATGCTATGTTCAGCAAAGGACAAGAGGGATCCTCTCACTTCTGCAGGAGTCTACTGTGTACCATGCAGCTGTGGGCAAGTCTACATAGGGACCACCAAACACAGCATTGCCCAAACACGTATCAAGGAACATGAAAGGCACTGCAGACTACTTCAACCAGAGAAGTCAGCCTTAACAGAGCACCTGATGAACCAACCTGGACACAACATATGATTTGAGAACACAGAAATGCTGGACCACTCTCACAACCACCATGTCAGACTACACAAAGAAGCCATTGAAATCCACAAGCATGTGGACAATTTCAACAGAAAGGATGAAACCATGAAAATGAACAAAATCTGGCTACCAGTATTAAAAAACTCAAACATTACAACAGCAAAACAACAGAGAGTAAACAATCAGGCACATCAAATCACTCTCAACAAAAAATTCCCCCCGGCACTTCCAAGCCATTAAATGCTAATCAAGATGGTCAGCTGAGACATTTACACCTAGCTCCAGCAGACAAAGATTCTTTGTCCCACCCTGGTCATTCCACAGATATATAAACCCATTTTCCTACTTCCAACAGACCTCACTACCTCTGAGGATGCTTGCCATAGATGCAGGCGAAACGTCAGGAGAAAAAGCCTTTAGAACATGGCCATATAGCCCGGAAAAACCTACAACAACCCAGTTTTGAATTGGTTTCATATCAGAGGTGTAGCAATGAGGGAATCAGAGCATCACTACTCCTCCATTATAATTCTTCTTACCCCATGATATATTCCTCCAGTTCCCACATTTCTAGCATCACTGTACATTCAGGCTTCAGGCAAATGTTTAGAAACATAGTTTAAGCTTCCAAAGAAAAGGGGCAAAGTTGCCATTGGAGTGTGATTATATTTATTAATATATTTTACAAGTGTAAGAGCTAGAAGTGTGATTGATCCACAGTGTTTCACTAGATGAGACAAAGAGATTCTGGTTCTGAACAAAGAAGAACACCAGAATTTGTAAACTGCAGAGTAAAAAAGTCTGCAGCTTTTCTTCTACATCACTTGCTGTGCTACTGAAGCCTGCTGGTGGGCGTCTGTTAAGCATGATTAACTCCCTATCTTGTATTTCTAACAGTGTAACAACAAGACAGGTCACAACATAAGAAGCATTTAGTGTCTGTAATAGATGATCTTTAGTTTGCAACACAGTTCAAACACAATAAGTGTAATCTATGCATCCAAAGGTATGGCAGAGAAAGAAATAAGAATATTAGTCCAGCAAAATAGCAGGAAAAGAAGAGTTGGAATAAAAATACGACTTTTTTAGGCAACTAGTATAGGAGTGAAGTGACCACAAATATTGATGGATGGCAGAGGAGCTGGAAAAACTAAGCCAGGGAAGACAGTAATGTTAGAAATTGCTCTATGTACTTCCCTCTCTTCTGTAGGGCTCAGCAGGGATGGAAAGAAGTGGAAGAAAGAAATTGAAAGAAATGGAAGAGTGGCTTCTTGGTTGTTCAGAAATCCTGATGTGGAGAATCCTCCCCATGCCTCTTTCTCGGTTTTTACATTCCCCAAGTAATCCTGAGGGCTAGTACCACAGCATTAGCCTAAATCTAGCCTTTTGGGGAATAAAAGAAAACTTCATAAGGAATTTAATGTAGTATAGGGTGAGGCAGCATAACTTCGTTTTTTAAAATGCGCACCATTCAGTCGTTTGAAGACGTAGCGGAGCACTAGTGGTCTTGTTCGAGAGGCGGGAATATAAAGTTTTGTCCTGACACAGTTCAGGCGTCATCATGCATTGGAACAGTGAGGAGCGTGCTTTTGCCGTTGAGGCCTACTTTTCGAGCGGATTTGGAGTGGCCAGCCCGTTCTCCAGATTTGGCCCCTTGTGATTTTTTTCTATGGGGTTTTTTGAAATCCCGTGTTTATGTGAACTGTCCAGGGATCCTACAAGATTTGAAGACCAACATCCAGGAAGAAATTGCCAACATAACGCAAATAAAAGCACTCAAATTTGTTCCAACTTGGACACTAAAAGATGATGTAGGCTCAACGGATGTAACACTGTCCTCTGCTTGTCCAGTGGTAATTAATACTTTCCAGCTTATGCAACCTAAGAATGCAGATAGGATTCTTGAAGAGGCAAGAGCTACCATATGTGTTCTAGATCCTTACTGCCCTATCTTCGGCTCATTCAGCAGGCCAGTGATAGATTGATTGGTTGGGTTGGTGCCTCTTTACCAAGAGCATTGTCCCGAAGTGCCTCAACGTTTTTTGTGTTAAACTAGTAGAAAATAAAGCTGCCACTATCTTAGCCACTCATGAGGACAATTTGGGTTTTGTAATTCAGAATTCCACATAAAGGCTCAACCTGTACGAATTAAAAATATTAATCATAGTTTTTTCTCCAATTTCAGCCGTGAAACCCATAAGATTGCTGTATTTTACATTGCTGAAGGACAAGAAGATAAATGTTCAATATTGTCCAATCCAAAAGGAAGTGAAGCATATGAAGATTTTGTTGCTGGATTAGGCTGGGAGGTAAATACTAGTGAAACATGCAATTTTCAAATAATACTTCGTGCTCAGATCAAACCACTGTATTTGAGGTCATATATTAACTTGTCAATAGCATAGACTGGGTGTTAACCCAAGCAAGGAGAGAAGGCGGAATCTGTCATTCCTCAGTATATGGCTTAGAGGAGCAGCACCATTTGTGAGTCTCCTTGATAGACCCCATCTAGGCTTCTCCCCAACACATACAGTAAAGAATGGGCAGTGACATCCAGCCCATTCAGATGTGGCCCACACATGGTGTCTGCAGTAATTACCATCACCATCTGAAATGCCCCAGAATATTAATAGGTTGCCTTATATGGTATACAACACAGTTTAAAAACAAAAAAGGGAGGAGGAGGTGGTGAAAATTCACTTACAGCATTCAGGCAGGTTGGTCTTTCCATTTGCATAAACCCAAATTATGTAAGGTAGTGGTGGAGAATACTTAACCTTCCAAGTAGTATAACTGAAACTAACATTAGCCTAAATTAGGATTGACAGTGGTGATGAACAATGGGAGTTGAAGTCCTATAATGCTGAGGATCTCCATTCCTGATGTAAGGCCTTAGAAGTTCACTTTCATCCGGGCTCAAAAATTTCCTGGCAACCACAACAGCTGGTGAAATGTCACATTATCTGACTGCCTATCAGCTAATTGTACTAGTTACACAATTTAGTACTAAAGTTACACAATTTAGTACTAAACAGTATCAAAATGTAACATGCAACAAAAATAGATCTTTCTTGCCATTGGAATTATCAAATGTGACTACTTAGTCTGTTTAGTTGGAAATGTCCCAATTTTTTTTAGAGGAAGTTGGTTTCAGAGACAGGTTTTTTTGTATGTTTGTTTAGGATTGCAGATTGAGAGTAAATTATATGGTTTACTTACTTAAGGTTGATCTTTCAACTCACTGTGGATTTATGGGTGGCCTCCAGCATAATGGCAGCACAGGACAAACAGCACCATATTATGCCACTTCTACGGTGGAAGTAATTTTCCATGTGTCTACCCGCATGCCCTCTGATTCAGATGATTCACTGACCAAAAAGGTAAATATAAAAATAATGTCAATCAACATATTGTTAAATCAACATATTGTTAAATTGTCCTATTTAAATCTATTATATGTCAGTACTTTCAGAGCTTGGATTTAGTTCACAACTTAAAATGGTACACTTTTTAGGAAGGTGATGAAATAAAATTCTAGGCAAACCTTTCCACAGCATTCCTTTCATCTTCCAGGCTCATAACTGTATCAAAATTATTTCTGCCAGTTCTTTTAATACCCTCAGATGTAGCTCACCTGGCCTTGGATACTTGAATTAAATTAACCAGATATTCGTGTTCTGCTTCTTTATCTATTCTGTGCTGTATTTCCCCAACTGCATCATCTGCTCCATTATCCCCAAGTTGAGCACTGTTAACCTTTTTAGAGGAGACTGAAACCTTTTTAGAGGAGACTGAAACCTGCCCCCTGTTAGCATTTCACTGTCATCTGTACACAGGGACCTACCATTTCCTCATTTTTCCATTTGCCACAGATACAATGAAAAAAGCCCTTTTTATTGTTTCTAATCTCTCTAACAAGCCTGAGCTCATTCTGCACTTTGGCTTTTCTAACTTTCTTCTACACATCAAAGCCTCTCCATAAATTGTGATAACACTTCACCTTAAATTGCTTTGGGTTTAATAACATTTTTGTCAGTAATGTGAAATAATTGTCATCCTTTTTTGACAAAGTAAATTTAATGGGCTCCTCTCTTATTCCAGATGCTCCTCCCTATATCGTGTCAAAGAAGCTATCAAATATTGCAAAGAAAATATTCTGTATGTTAATATACTTAATATATTAAGTATATGTTAATATAGTTAGCAGGCATACCTCTCTATCTTCCCAGCATTTCAAAGGTGTCAACAAGATAATTGTCCGAGATCATTGGCAAAGATCGTTATCAGAATACCCATTCCACTATTACCCATTGTTGAACATTTGTTGCTTGCTGCCACTGGATTCATTTATTGTTCTGTTCAGTAGCTAGTTTTCCTGACTTCTGTACTGACCATCAAACTCCTTTCAAAGAACAACATTAAATTTCACAATGGATACAACTGCACATTTATAGACAGGGCCTTAGGTCCCATTCTGGGATAAAGGTGCCATGCAAAATAAATAATTAAATAAATAATCGAATAAAGGCAGCCACCCAGTAGCACTTTCTATTTAAATAGAAAGTGATAGAAAGTAAACATGTACATGTACTAATATAATTTTTTGGAAAATAAATTAGGGATGGCCATTTATCATAGAGACAGACATTAGAAAACAGAGTTGGTTCCTGCCAAACAAGAGTAATTGGACTATATAAAAATTCTGGTTTTATGACAGTAATAAATTTCAGACTATCCTTTAGTGTAAAACACTTGTGTGTTAGTTCTTTATGTTTTCGGTCAAACATATTTGGAATTAGAAGCCACTATAGATAGAATTTTTAATAATGAATATTCAGTATATTTCTTTTTTTTTTCACTAGTCATATAATGCTTGTGCTCCCCACAGTTTTACATCCCCCCCCCTTGCCAGTTTTTAAGAATAACAAGCAGAATGCTGAACAACTTGCTTAGCTGACAAACTCAATAGCATGACAGAAGGTCATACCACCTGCTGGCCAGAAAAGCTGCCTGCAAATGTGACCATTCTGCAGCAGGCAGTGTATTTTGTGACCCACAGAATAAGACAGATGTCATAGTAATACTTAATTATTAGAGTTTCTTTATTAATAAAAAATAGTTCTGCTCTCACATGACTTCTGAAATAAATAGGCATATCTCTAGTGAAGAATGCAAGTAAACTGGTGTAGAATAAAATGATTAGGATGTTGTCTTAATTATTTTATGCAGTGTAGTAGTGCCACATAACATATTTAGAAATCATATTTTTGTACTTTAGCTGAAAAGTATAGTTGTGAGTACCTGAGGAAAATTATTATTGAAAGATTTTTTAAATAAGAAGTGATTGGTTCCTATAGGAACATAAATCTTTATGGATAGTTTGTTTTCCCATCTTACAGCTACAGTGGAAATGAATAGAGATAGCAACATCCTAAAAGCTTCTGGTCAAAATTATATGTAGCTTTAGAAAAAAAAAACCCGACAATCAGCTGTGAAGAGCTTCTCAGTTCACAATTCTGGATACAACCCCCTTCTGAACTCTTGCTCCTTTACTTAAGAAATTCATTAGTTATAGCAAGATTAGATTTTTAGCAGCTAATCTAACTGCTGTAGGGGTTTGCAAAGTGGAGACAGAGCTGTGCTATTGGATTTGTTCAATTCATTTGACTCCAGGACTATAATTGCACTTATGTCTTACAAGGCTTTTTATAGCCTAAGGCTGGCTGGCAGCAGAAAACAAATTGGCAGTGAATACAGTAAGAATGAAAGGGAATGAAAGGCACACATTATCAGTCTCCAGGCAGTGCTGTTCTGGCAGGAAGTTTCTTGGTTAATTTACAAATAAAACTTCGATTTTTAGGATGGGCACTCTGTCAGGCAGACAATGGGGATGTCAGGACTGGCCATTACTCAGTACAAGTAGCCGCCATGCCTTCCCCAAGCAGAAGTTCTTCAATCACGCAGACAACTCCTTTCTGGAGCCAGCTGGCTCTGTAATGCAATTAGTAGGAAAAGGAGGTCAGACTATTAGGTGTGTATACCATGACCAGTGTCAGTATTGGTGTGTTGCCTGGCAGGCAGGGAGCAAAATAGTGAAAGCAGAGTGCTTTTCACACTCTTTAGTCAAGTGGTAGATGCATGGCGCACAACTTCAGAGATGCAGTTCTTGAAAAACAATACAGTGTTCATTAACAGACATATATATTCACATGAAAAATTTAACCCCTGGTGTTTTGTGAAAAAAACGTTGTGTTACACACAGGAAAAACATTTTTCTGCATTTTTTAAGATGCATTAGTCTTTGTGCTCTTGCGAAAGGGGAAAACATTTCATGATGCTTGGAAGGTTTGTTTTTTGCTGTTGATGAGGATGTGGGAATGTGTGAAGCTTCTTCATAGCCCTACTTTAGATGAACATATTGTAGTTGACTAAATTAAAGTAGCATGTAACTGATGTTGTTCATTCGTTCAGTCGTCTCTGACTCTTCGTGACCTCACGGACCAGTCCACGCCAGAGCTCCCTGTCGGCCGTCACCACCCTCAGCTCCTTTATTAATTAATTAATTAGTAACATTAAAAACATAGTCTTTTCTACTCTGAATATTAATATGCATGTGGACTTTGGAAGTGAATACTGCGCTATGAATATTTTACAATACCTGTATCAAAGACACAAAGTAACCACTGATATCCATGTATTATGTTAGAGCAAAGATCTGAACATAAAAAAAATCCCTTTGTTCATAAATGTTACTTTAATTCTCTTTATTTTTCAATGTAGTATACAGCAGGCCTTGCAGATCTATAGGTTCTGGATCCCCAATGTCCACCACCACATCCCAAATATTAAATGGTGATATGAGTGCAGATAGGCTGAAACATACATGTTTATGTTGCTACCATTTAATAATATGGTTATAGTCACCTGAATTTCTTTGTGTCAATGTGAGGTCCAAGAACCAAATCTTACTAGATGTAGCAGGCACATTATAATTGGGGCTTTTGTCTTTAAATACTACTGTTTCTGATGATTTGTTATAGTTCTGAAATGCTTTAAATTAAAGCTGACTTCACCCACTTTAGTATTGCTTGTTTTTGTTACTCTGTTAACACTTATGGAACCTCTAGCTAGCAGAACACAGCAGATACTTGCATTTTTTCCTGCTAGCCTAATGAGTGATATAATCTTATCTTCCAAAACCCGCTACTCAAAACAAATAGTTTATTTGCTATTAGTTTTGGTTGTGTAGCACATGGTAGTGCAGTAGTATGTTACATTTCTTTTGTTCTTTACTCATTTTATTCAAAATACTTTAGGTTCAAAGTGTTTTAGATATTTCATTCTCCAAGAAATGAGAGCTAAATAAAGTTTTAGTTAAACACCTCGGGCTTCATTTTTTTGTACTCCACAGCAAGGTGAGATTCGCAATAGACTAGACTCCCATACGAGCACAGAAGCAAATATTTGGGATATAAAATGTTATTTTAGTGTTTTTTAATAAGTTTCTGTTCCCAGCTGAAGCATATATATTGTCAGCACTAATTCAACAGTTGAAAATTTCAAATTCTTTTTGTTGTTCTGATTAATAGCTGAGCAATTTGCATTTACAGCTTCGTCATTTGGGAAATGATGAAATTCATGTTGTCTGGTCTGAACACACCAGGAATTATCGCAGAGGCATTATACCAACAGATTTTGGAGATGTTTTAATTATTATTTATCCAATGAAGAATCATATGTTTTTTATAGAGATCATGAAGAAACCAGAGGTATGGTTTTGATAATTTATTTAGTGCTAAATATTAGCTAACAGAACTGTAGAATACAACAATATGGTAGATAGGCAATCAACAATCTGCATAAGACAATGAATCTCAACCTAATCCCACATTGTATAATGATAAGGTAAAAATAAAGCTTTAATGAATATTTACAGTAATAGGGATGTCTACTGTTTGTTGTCATCTTTAGTATTATTGCCTGTAAAACCAGTTTTGGGGGGCTGAGGAGCTGTTCAGTGGCATTAAGGGTAAGACAATACAACTTTGCATGTTTCTTCATACAAGTTTGCTGTGATAACTGGTTGATTCATATGTGATGGATAGATAATGTTAAACTACACTACTATACGTAGACATGGATCTGTCTTTAAAGATTATTCATGCTATGGCTGCTGGAATGCTCACTGGGACTGCAGTTGTTCCAAACCTATTTCCAGGCACTAGACAAAATTTGCTTCTTTATCCTTAGGGCCATTATGGCTTGGACACAGGTATCTGGAAGCTGTTTCCATATGTACCAGTTCAGCGCCATCAAGATCACAATCATAGGCTCTTTATTCTCAAACTTTGTTGGGAATGGAGCTCTGGCTTTGGAATTTCTCCCAGTAGATGCTCACCAGGCACCCACTCTAATGTCTTTTTGCCCTTGTTATTTTCTCAGACTTTTAAGCTGTTGCTAATCAAATTTTCTCTCATTATTTTAATGTGTTTTTATAGATTTGTTATTGTTTGAAATATTTATAGTTTTTCAGTGTATCATTGGAAGTTGTCTCAATATTATTTTTCAGTCTATTTAGATTATTGAACTCTCTGTATTGTCCCAAGTGTCACTCTCATGCAGGTGGGAATCTAACCTGGGCAGATAATTTGGATGAGGACAGAATGCTGTGTTACTTTTTCATTAATCCAAAGGACACAGACTCAAATCAAGCAAGACACAAACAAAGTTGAGGTCAAAAGTCCAAAATGGGCAAGCTAAGCAAACCAGGAGATACCCTTGGATAACTCTGTGTGTGAAGCCCGGCTTAGAATTGAACACATAAACCCAGACAGAACCTTAAATATAATTGCAACTCTGCCTCCTATGAGCAACACTTTCTAGTTAAAAGAGCTAGGATCCATTCAATAACTGTTGTTCCAGTAAAACGGAAATATTGTTCTGCTGGACTTCCGGGCTGTTTGTAAAGCTTTCTCTTTCACTTAAGTTACCAGGACATTGGGGTCACGTGAAGCATATGTTGAGGACAAATTATGTCTTAGCACTTATTTCAGTATTTTTTTCTAATTCTTTACTTTGTCCCTCAGATACGAGAAGCCATAAGTACGAATGCAAATATTTGTTGATTTCATTCTTACAGGCAAGACAAAGCCTTTCAACTGTGAGAGTTTTGATGCACTTACCTGCATTTGGGAGGCACCATTGTTTTTGTGCAAAATACATTGTTTGCCATACCAAACCATTATTTTTCACCAGAGGAAAACATCTCAAGCATGAGATATGCTGCAGCTTACTATTTCTTTCAGTTGCCTGTTTCAATGCATTGAGACAAATTTTCTTCTTGAACATGAGAAATTCTGAGAGTGTTCTTGAAAAAGAAATACACCTGCACATACACAAATACACACACATAGAAGCTTTTCGGTTGAGAGGCATTTACCAATCAATTTAAAAACCAGTACTAATAATTAAAATACCTTTAAAATTAAACACAAAGTATCAGTATATGATTGAATAGCACAATCTGCATCTTTTAGAGCATTTCAGGAGGAGCTCAAAGAAGTAGAGGAGTGGAGATGAGGAACAGCATCAATGAGAAGAAAATGAAAGAGGAGAACAGAATAGAGAAAAGAGAAAACAGAGAAGAAGGGAAATTGGAGAATAAGAGGGGCAAGTCAGCAAGAAAACAAAGCAGCAGGGGCCTGAATTGCAAGAATATCTTCAAAACTGCAGTATTTTTGAAGACATGCTTGCCATGCAGAGAAGATTGAGCAAATACTTTGTCCTTCTCTGTGGGAACAAAATCAACAAAGACTTACATCCCCGTTCAAGAGTTTCAGTTCCACCCTGCAAAAGACTTGGTCTAGTATGCTATGCTTCCTTTCCAAAACTTATTTATTTGGAATGGTAAGAAGCTTTAGTCATGCTTCCAGTTATGCATGCTTACATATTATTATAAACAATTTGTCATGCATATGCCACACTGAATGAAGGATAATATCTTTATCCTCACATTTGGTAGTTGTCATTGTCATTTTAGTGTTGGCATGTTCTTCCATTATACTTTCCCCCTGTTGTGTGTTTTTTATCATTCCCACAATTTTGAAAAAGAATTATCTAGATTAGCCTGTTTTTTGAGTGTTCCACTTTTTAAACTTTTGTACACTTTACACAGATTTTCAGTGTACATATTTCCATAGGAAGCCCTGTGGCATTGTTCAGAAGGAGGAAAATGTGCAGCTGTCTAATGTGTTTTAAGAGAATGGCAGACAGGCATCTCTCAGACAAGGTTCTTGAGGCAGCTCTTGCTATTGCCTTGAGGCATTAGGACACCATACAAAAAGAAAATGTGGTACAGATTCAGGATCAAATGATATATGGATGACTAAAAGGCAAATGCACTTAGGATAAAGAAGAGCCACAGACACACAAAAATGGTAGATCATCTTTCTGTCACCCTGTGGCTTATGATTTGGTATAAATGTTGTTGCCATGAATTATATTTGACAAATCAACTTGAATTTTTCACTGCCTCCCTAATTGTGAAGTTTTTTTTCCAGAAAGAAAAAAACTCCTACTTTTACATATTTATTATAAATCATTTGACTGGCTTAGAAAAATTCTCACCTTGTTCTTCAGCTGGCTGTTTTTCAGAGCATCTTACATGAGACTAAAATATAAAATCAAAGTGAATGCAGTAGTACAAATAATAAAACAGAAGGTAGATAAAGTAAAGAGGCAGCCTCTTTATCAGAGACATTATTAAATCTTAGGAACATTGTTAAATCTTTAAAAATGCAAAACAAATAAAAAGTTATTTACTTAATCAAGAAAAGAGATGGTGCCTAGCAAGCTTATTCAAGGAGGGAATAATCCTTATAAAGTAAGGATTAAATATAGTCTAAATGGTCAGTTGACTGCATCCTTAGACACTAATTATTTTCCCCCAAAATACTTTTCTTAAATAAGCTACTTTTTTTCTACACAGAAGTACATTCTAAACTGCTACCATGTCTGGTGTTTTAATTTTCTTGTAATATATGGAATGAAAGAAAGATAGTTTTAGAATGTAGTTGTTCAGGGTTTTATATATATATATAAAATTGATACATCATGTGCACTAGAAGAAGGGAAACAGTGGGAGAAAAATACCAAATGTGAAAAAGTGGTAGTCTTTCATTTAAAATATAACAATGCAATAAAATTAATCCAGACATTTCCAGGTCAAATGTGGCTGACCTTTTCTTCACCAGCTACTAACCCTAGAATGAATGAAAAGGCTTGTAGAGAGAAATGACTGTTGGCTGTTGTCCCTGGTATTTAAATTGTGTTCCCTAATCAAATGAAAATGCTGCCGTTTCTCTGTCAGGTTTCAGGATCCATGGTAACATTTGGCCTCTTATAGAATTAATGTTAGCCTTTTTGTTTGCATCTAAGTAGAGACACCTGGAGCAATGTTAACATTAACCGATTTAGTATTAATAGCTTCATTATATAAGAATCTCTGTGCCGATAGCTGTTACTTTTGTTATATTGCTACAATCTGTATTGTGTTCATTTTTTATCCTCCTGCTTGGCAACCAGGCAGTGATTTGCAAACTTTTTTGTCTTGATTAATTAACCAATATAATTATTGGGGACTGTGATGTAGTCTTTTGCTCAACAAAGCTTCTGGGAGAAAACAATAGTAAGTCTGTTAGTATGAATGCATTCCACGCATCACAGATGCATTAAGATATTCTGAACAATGAGACGAAAAGCTGCCTGCAAAAGCGGACAAAGAATGCCATGCAGACTCTGACACACTGTGCATACCGCCAGGGACACGCGGAGAGTTCCCTGGGACACAGATGCCTCGTTAGATTGCAGCTAGTCATCAGAGATTAATTCTCAGCCATTTGGTACAATAATTTACTCATTCACTCGCTTTTTAAACTATATTGTTTGCTATGGAAGATAGGCCTTTGTACTCAAATGGTGATTATATTTTAATTGACTACAATAGCATTTTGCTTGGTCATTAAAATGAAGCAGAATGGAACATTTGGAATTATTTTTTCATAAATATATGAACATTTTTTTCTGATCTAATAAATATCTTCACTCCTTATAAGTTCACGTTACAGATTTACTAAAACTGGGGTAAGTTTGGTATGTTTAATTTGACTGCCTCCCCCCCCCAAAAAAAAATAAATCCAATTTTGAAGACATGAAAATATATTATCATTTTAAGATCCTTAACACACAAATCACAATGCCTATAACTAGGTGGATCCCTATTTATTTTAGATCAAACTACCACATACGAAAACTTATGAATTTTACTCTCATATACCTTTTACATCAAGCTGAAAATCCAAAAAGTTATAGTGATTAGTTTTAAAATAATAATGAATTGCCCAGAGTGTACACATACCAAATAAGCTACAGTTATTGATCTACAAATGATCACTCTAAAAGGTAAAACAGCCTTATGAATATTGATACACTTCCAGCATAATCCTTAACTTGGCTTCTGTGTAGGAAGATCTGAATCAAGATGGTAGTTAGCTTTTTTTAGATTTGCCATATAGACCAGTTTGATAATACTGGGAGTGTGGCCCATTAAATAATAGAAATGAAAACAAATATTCGAATACTCGAGAGAGAGGCATCTTAGTTGTCCAAAAACTCAGATGAGAACAATCCTCCTTATCTAAAACAAAAACAAAAACTGGTCCAATCACTCATTTACCTACAAACCATTGGTGCCAGAAATTAATATTAGGTTTATTATGTTATTTACCACATTAGATCAGGTTAAATAAGTATACGGAGTCTGCTTTCCTGTATTCAGGGAGAAAACCCTTCTAGAACACAAGGAGATTGCACTTTTGCTAAAGTCGAAGACACATAAGGCTTTTAATCCTTTTCTTTACTTATCCCAATTCTCCTGCTTATGAAAAAAAAGAGAAGCGTACTTCCAGATGTCCCACCAAGTCTGAATGGTCTTCAAAATATATTCCCACGTGTCTTATTTAATATAAAAGTGGGTAGAACTAGAAGTGGTGTGTGGTGTGTGGAGCCTGTGAGAAGTGCCAGGGTCACAAGAATTTGACCCCAGAACATCAAAGCTGCCCACTGCTTTGTTGGGGAAGCTGTTTTCCTATCTAGTTCTGGCTCTGAGTACTGGGGGAAAGGCTGCTATCAGTGCAGTAGAATTCAGAAACAAGATTTTTACAAATGAATAGTAGCAAAGTGTGGATAACCAAAGGAGCTTTAGTTAGTGAAGCACCCTCAAAACTACCTTGGAAGGAATAAGAAAGATAAAATCAGCATTTCCATAAAGGGGGTGTTTTATTGATATAGTAAGAGATAATGAAAATGTAAGGCAAGTTACTGATGGCCATTTTAGAAGGAAACAGGGGAAAGGGATGGAGATTGTGGCATACCAAGGGGCCTTACATTGTGATGTTTTAGCGCTCGGACAAGGCCTCTAGATACTCATCATTTGCAATTTTCATCTGCCTGCACCAAGATAGCCATTGCTGAGGAATCATAGGAACTGCAAATCAGCAAAATCAATGGGATGTTGGGAGATCACACAGAAACAACTGTGGATTTTCAGTTGTCAGTTGTTTAGTTGTACATTCCAATGTCAGTTAATCATAAGGGATTTGGCTGCAGCATGTTCAAGAGTTCCATAGTTTGAGGGACATAGGGCAGGATGTTCTCTTTTTTATGTCAGTGGAAGGTCACAACTGATCCTACAAACACACTATGTTCTGGATAACTAGCTGTTGCTAACTAACCAATACAGATAAGTGGGTTGCTGTGAGTTTTCCAGGCTTGCTGTTCTGTAGTTGTCATTTGCTGAAAGTCTGAAGGGCTTTGTTTGCCAAATAAACTACAAAATTAATTTCTATCAGGTATTCATCATATTCAGGATGTTTACTTAGAAGCAGGGCCACATTAACTTATATGATGCAAGAAGGCAGAGTGGTTTTAATAGTAGGGATACTACCTGCCCAAGATAAAGAAATCAGATTTTTACTTTTCAAACATTGTTTATATACTTCTCAGTTATCCCTGTTTCCCTGTGTAACATTTTTCTGCCCATCTAGTCGAAGTCCAGACTCCTTCAACTCCCATTGACCGATGCTTACAGGCACTAAGCACATTCTGATAACACAGCAGAAAAGAAAGATGGTCGCATTCTTTGCCCAGCACCTTGCTGCTACTTCTCCTTAATAGGACGGACATTTTTTATGGTGCTTGGAACAGTTTTGGGCATGAAGTTTTGATAGAGTCAGCCAAAGGTGTCTATCTGGTGATGATTGAAAATAAAGTGGATAATTCTTCCAGAAAAATAGCACTGATGAATCCATCTCTTCCTGCTGATCTTATGGATCTTTATTTGCTATAATTGTTGAGGTATCAAATTGTTGCCAATTGTGAACCGCTCCGAGTCGCCTCTGGGCTGAGAGGGGCGGTATATAAATGTGATAAATAAATAAACCATTTAGGGTAGAATCTGGAAGATGTAAACAGAACTGAGAAATCTTAACATTAGGACAGAAATCTCCAAAAGCAGTACACTTTCAGTACCATGTTTAACTATTTTTGAGGGAGCAAAAGCTGAGGCGACTCAATATTTTCCCTTTTTTGAGTTCTGGTGCCATGCATAGTTTGATAAGCTTTGACTGAAGGAATAGATAGGGAAGGATGTGTCCAGCAAGACACCTTGGAGTGCTACAGAAGCTGTGCTGAAACAGCCTGTTGCAAAAGGGATCAACACCATATCAAAGGAGAAAGAAATGTTCTTTTCAAGACATCACTCTTGCCCTGAGACTTCTCTTTTATACTATTGGAGATGTGCCACACCTCAGGCTCAGGGCCAGAGTTTATCATCTAAAAAACCTGGAAAACCTGGTTGTTACCCAAGTCTCTTTGTAGTCCTCTGTTTGTGTGTCAAGTCATCTCAAATGGTCTCATTCTCATTAAGGGGAAGGAATACTGATTTTTTGTATTGGCCTGCTACACCTCTTGGTGGTTTTCCAAGTTGTCCCCAAAGTTCCACATTTCTTCCTATAGAAAACATCACTACCTTCCTTAAAAATGGCAGCATAGAACTGTTATATATGTGTGTGTTCATAGCTTATGTGTAAACAAGGGAGAGTTATTACAGCCAGGGATAACTAACTACATATAATTATCTTATTGTTGACAGGTACCATTTTTTGGTCCGTTATTTGATGGTGCAATCGTGACTGCAAAACTGCTGCCAAATCTTATACGCGCCACATGCATCAACGCCAGCAGAGCAGTGAAGTCCCTTATAACTCTCTATCAAAGCTTGTATCCTTTTCCAACAGTAATTTGATTTGTTTCTAGGATGGCTGTTTTCATTTGAGGTATGTGTTCAAAAGTAATATGTGACATTGTGAATAACTATGTTAAAATTTGCAATTTTTCTTTTTAAAAATAGCATGTTTAGATTAATTCCTACTTAGTTTAAAATGATTAATTTGATGCATAAAGGATGAACAATGCTAGACCACAAAGATGTATTCATAAGATTTTTTAATTTCATTTTTAATTATAACATTTTTCTTTAAACTAGAAGTTGAGTATTCATAGTGACACATAGTGACCACCTTGATTAGCATTTGATGGCCTGGCTGTTGTTTGTTGTGGCTTGTTAGTGCCTGGAGCAATGTTGAGAGGTGATTAGATGTTCCAGATTTCAACAGAAAGGAGAAAACCATGAAAATGAACAAAACTTGGCTACCAGTATTAAAAAACACTAAAATTACAACAGCAAAACAACTGAGAGGAAATAATTTGGGACATCTAATCACCTCTCAACAAAAGATTGCCCCAGGCACTGCCAGGCCATCAAATGCTAATCAAGGTGGTCAGTTGAAACATTCACACCTAGCTCCAGCAGACAAGAGTCCTTTGTCCTACCCTGGTCATTCCACAGATATATAAACCCTTTTTCCTAGTTCCAACAGACCTCACCTTTGAGGATGCTTACCATAGATGCAGGCGAGACGTCAGGAGAGAATGCCTCTAGAACATGGCCATATAGCCTGAAAAAACCTACAACAACCCAGAACAGGACATTTTTTAGCCTGGACAATGTGACAAGATTCTGGGGGACGGGGTGGGAGAGAGTATGTTCTAGCAGTAGATTGAGTGTGGAGCTAAGGCCATAGGAAAAAGGCATAATCAAAGTCAGTGTGGCCAGGTGTAATTCTGGCCAGTTTGGATGCACCTCTTCCACTCATTTGCCCATTTTCCTTTCCCTCGTCCACTTGCTCTTGACCTGTCTCCCAACATGGCTTTTCTGACAAACCTCATATACAAACCAATGTATAGACCAAATGCAAGGAGAAGAACAATTATACATTTGTGAAAGTTTTAGTGAAGTTTTGTCATGGTAACAACATACCCACAACTATCTTTTCCCATGCAATTTATTTCATATGGCATAGGAGTCAGAAGTGTTCAGCATAGGCATACTAGTCCCTGTAGTGTCCTGATGAACATTGCAGTAAGCCTAATAGGTGGTATAAAGGTGTTCTGACCTTTATTTTGAAGTGCATTTCCCCTGTTGAAATAGATCAATAGCTGAGCTGTCGGTCACTTTTGCTTGTCTTCCGTTCTCACAGCAAGAACATTCTCCAGGCAGCAATCAATAGCTGTAATCTGTTCCAGCCTGTAATGACATGTGAAGCTTTTAGAGTGGCATTACCATTGGATTTTTCTCAGTGTGTGCTGTTTCCAAAGAATTACCACATTTCATAGGTAGCGTAAAGGATTTTGTATACTTCAAGGATATGCAAGCAATTGTTATTTGTATACATTGTGTGCATTTGTTTTAGCTGCTGTTCCCTTTCAGACTTTGGAATCACATACACCTTGTAGACTTAAAGCTATAGGCATATAGCTTTAAATTTTGGTTTTCTTCCTGGCTTCTGTTACTCACAAAATAGGGTTATACCTGATGCAAGATTTCTTAGCAGACACCCCACCCGCTTTTTCCAGTGAACATGTCGGACATCATTCATACCCTGACTTCAGTTTTTTGTTCTTTTTTGTTTCACCAGTAGCAGTGTGTTAGGTAACCTTCCTCTCAGCTATCATTTATTTTTTAAAGTAGTTAGCAGTCAGGCATGTAGCCGGGGGGGTGGGGGTGGGTGGGGGTTGAGGGGCTTCAAACCTCCCCCCCCCCCACCGAAATTCTCATGGTGGTCCGCGAGAAAGCCTTACTGGTACATTATTTAAACTGTTATGTTTATTCATATCATGATCTGATCACCATTATTTATTTATTTCTCGCACTTCTACCCCGCCCTTCTCAACCCCCAAGGAGGGACTCAGGGCGGCTTACAAAAAGGCACAATTCGATGCCGGCACAACAAAAAGGTAAAAGAATAAAACATATAAACAGTAATTAAACAATTAGGCAGTTAAGACAATTAAAACAATCCATTATATATCACAATCCTTAAAAACAATCTAGTGCTCAACGTTTATCATCTCATAGTCCATAAATTCAAATTCCACATTGTCCAATCCAACAATTCTGGTCGTCACTTGTGCACTATCTATCTGCCAGATTGCCCAAACGTCTGGTCCCACATCCATGTTTTTAATTTCCTTCTAAAGGAAAGGAGGGATGTCGCTGATCTAATTTCCCCGGGGAGTGAATTCCATAGGTGAGGGACCACCACTGAGAAGGCCCTGCGTGTAATTTCTCAAGTCACGCCTGACACGGAGAAAAAAGACAACTAGGAGTGCTTTTTTCCTGTGTATTTTAATTTACTTTTATCTGCTGAATCCTCATCGGAATCAGTTTGTATCCTAATGAAACAATTCAATACTGAATCTTAAAGCAAGATAACTCATGTGAACTATATAGTAGCATAAACTTACATGGAACCCACACTTTTGACAGCATGCCTCAAATATCCTTGGAAACATAAGATGAAAAGCTAACATATTGTATTATGAAACAAAATTATTTTCATAGGGCTTTATGTGACACATAACTTGATGTACAACTTAGCTTTCCATTGTGACACTGAAAAAAATGGAAATTTAAAATCCAAAATGGATGCCAGAATGACCACAACTACATCAGTACTACAGAGTTTGTGTGAATTTGTTTGTCTGTCAGAACATTTGTATTCTTTGGCCAGCAAGGCTTCCAGAGCATCTTATCAATCAATATAGTACTTGGTTTCAGGCTTACAATAAAAAAGACAGAGGCACAAAATGTTTAAAGAAAACAATATTTTCACATTTACATCTACAGAAATAGCCTCTGAAATTACCTTAGAACATTTTTACTTCCATTTCTTTTTATATCACTTTTTAAATCTGGAATGTTGATGCTGAGGCAAAATAATAAGATTCCACAGTCATTTTAAAGACCTGAAACAGTTTTTATTTCCCTAAAGCTCTGACAGAATCTACTCTCTTCAGAAGAAACCAAAATCTAGAGATGTGCTATGGTGCACAAGCAATGGCTGCAAACAAATCAGAACTACACTCTTAAGAAAGATATTTACGCTCATGAATATCAATTGTTTTTTAGTCAAAATTTTAATAATTTGGATATTGTGTAGCTCTCAACATAAAGATTCATTGTACAATATTTTACAAAAATGAATCATAATGTCCCCATTTTATTACGATGAGTATTCAGATGCTATGACTAGCTTAAATAAATGGGGTAGAAAAGTCCACACTTAAGGAATTACTGATGATAGCCAATGATTAAATAATATGCAATTGTAATAATCAGAAGCTTCTTCTGGAAAAAATAGAACTCGTCATTCTTCTGAGAAAAGACATTTCCTCACACAATAGATATTACATTTCTTTATCACTGATCAGAGAAAAATTCCTTATTTATTCATTAATTCATTCATTTACTCTGGACAAAATACTGCATGCAAATTTCAACTTTACAACTCCTATTATCTTTTCGTCAGGCCATCTGCAAATCACTACCAGACACAAGCTTTTCCCCAGTTGTGCAGTTCCTCTCTTCCCAATTGTAATTCTCTTACCTATTTCAATAATGCAGTCCATTCCTGGTGCCATTTTCTACTTTCCTCTTTACTGTTCCTTTTATCTTTGTTGTGTCTATCTCTTAGATTAGAGTCCATCAAAATATTATTGTCCAAATTTTGCACGTGGCTCCCAATTTGTCACTTGACATTAACATTAATTTTGTGTGTCTGTCTTCAAATTGCTTGTTAACTTATGAGTTTTATGGGGTTTTTTTAAAGACAAATCCTATGTGTAATTAGAATTGGGTAGCTTGTATAAAAGAAACTCATGTCCATCTTATTTTCAACATCCATCCTTTTGTTATTCTCTTGGGAACTAAGTTAAGAGAGATTTCTCAAGTAGGCCAAGCATGATAATTGCAGCAGCAGAAGGGAGAGTCCATGTCAGAGAGATTGCTAGGACCCATGCAAGTAGGGCAGAGGGTGTGGGCTAAGGGGTGCTATCTTCACGATGGGTATGCTTTCCCTCATTCTGTGCCCATGTTGGCAGAATGGAAATCTTTGGAAGTAGCAGATCCAAACAGTTTCTAAATCCATCTATAACTAGAATTAACTCTTTTTTTTCTTGTATCTCAACCAGAGTATCAGTGGAACAGGAGCAAGAGCAGAGGGATTATGTGCCCCCACCATGTGTGTATGTGCTTTTGTGCATGCATGTGCACAAACAAGAGATTCACTGCCCAGGCACCCATCATAAGAATAAGACTGTTTTTGCAAGTTTGTATACTTCAGAAAAGGTCTTATTAAGGAAAACATCACACGCATATATTTTGTCAAAAAGATAAGCCAAGATTTCCTGTGCCCAGGATAAAATAGGCAGATGTTTAAATTGTTAAACATTATCAGCAAATATACAGTGTCTACGCAACTGCTAAACTTAGCCTTAATTCACCTGGCAATTCTTTTAAAAAATGATGATTTTCCATTTTCACCCACCAACCTCCTTGGTTTCCAGTCTAAATGCAAAGGATAAATTAATTCCTCTGCAAACTGCAGAGCAACACAGAGACCGGTGAGAGGTGATGGATAACTCTATTTGCTTGTTCGTTAGGAGCCAGAGGTCAGTGTGGGGTGTCTATAAGTGTTACTAGCATATTGTGAAACTAATTTGAACCCCAAACTACATAGCCATTGGTGCTACGGGCAAGGAGATGGTTTTGATGACATCCTAGATAAAATGCCTTCTTTGAATTCTCACAATCCACCCACAATGGAATAGGGACTTATCTGGTTGCCTACTAGAAACACCATTTGGATCCGGGAACAGCC